AAGTAATGAGCAAAGAGGAAAAAAAGGAAAATCTTGCAGAAGGTTCCCCTGGCTAACTAAATGGTAGCCCAGGTTCTCCACAGAATGGACTTAACATACCAGGCTCATTACATGTGGCTCTTTCTAATTCAGGGCACAATAATTAATTTGGACAATGATGAAACCTAGTGTCCACAAAATTAGAATAATATGTTAAAAGGTGATAGATATTAAATTAACTCAAATATAATTTGGAGAATTTCAAAGACATTTAGTCTTCATTGAGGGTTAGTTGAGGAAATACTCGTACAGACAGTTTTAGACAGTATTATTAAAGCTACATGATCTGCTTTTTCAGAGTACTACCATGTAATTTTTTTTTATATTATTATTATTTTTATTTTATTATATAATGAATTGTTATAAATATATATATATATATATATATATATATATATATATATATACATACATACATACACACACACACACACACACACATACATTTACATATGCACACCAACTTCAGTCTTCTACTTCTTCTAACACTACAATGAGGCAAATATTGTTCAGTTGCAAACTAAAAAGGAGAAGGAGATCATAAACATGTAGTGTTTGACTAGACATTTGGGTGGAATTTTTTATTACAACCAGGTTAACGTTGTCTTCTGCCAAAAAAATAAATGAGATAAAAAATGAAAAGAAGGAAAGAGGAAAATGTGCTAAAACTTAAAAATAAAAGCACAACTAAAATAGCCTTTTACCATCACACATGATCAGCATCTGTGTGAAGTTGCTTGTCACAGATTGAGATCTAACAAAACATAAGCAGCAACACATGGACAGTAGTGGTGGTTCTTTCATGTTGTCCAAAGTCCTGATAACTATATGTTACAACAGTGAGGTTCTCCAGAAAGACCTTTCTCCCACCTCCCTCTGTCCTGTGATGGCTATTGCGCAGTGGCTACGGAAATTTGGAGACTGCTGAGCCAAAACAGATCACTTCAAAGCGGCTTATTTAACGCTTGCTAAATTTTTCATCACAGTAGCCTAATATCCTGGGGAAGGGAGCTTTTGAAGTTGCTGTGTGAGACCGCGGATGTTCGTCTTATTCAGATTTCTCCTCCCATAACCGGCATCCCTGTGTTGCAGCTACAAGCCCAAAACTAAACAGCAATATAATGGGGTCTATAGACAATAAGTATAGTAGTTTAAGAGATTGCTGATTCAACAAGGGCAAAAAAAATGTTTGAAATTGAAACACAAAAATGCTGAGAACACAAAATTTCCTTTACAACTGCTTGGAGCAAGTTGGAGCACTTATAATGTACATTTGTCTCCAGCTTGCTTTTCATTGCCAGTACTAAAATTTTTTTCATGAGTTAAAATGATGTTTGAACAGTAGAGTTATATCAAGATTAGGAATTTAACACCCTACATTTAATAAAAGTTTTTAGGGCTGCAGCTTCTTGGTGAATTAAATGTGGTGTTTACGTGACTAAAAGGGGTGAGGCGCTCTCAGGTATCTCTGATCTGCAACTGACCCAATCTGCACTCAAATAACCACAAGCTAATGTTAGTACATAGAAAAGTACTAATAAACTGCTGATTTATAAGTAGAAAAGCCGAATAAACAGACCAGTTAAAGTTCCAGCTAACTCACTCAATGTCCTCTCCTTTCTGCTGTAAACCAAATCACATAAATCAGATCAAATACTTATAGCAACAACTTTTTTTAAACAAAGATTCGACATTCTTGATTTCATGTGTCTAGATCATAGACTGTATAAAGCAGTGGACTATGACATCACCCATAGCGTTCGGCTCCAGGCAAATGGAGCTCACGGGACTAGCAGTTATAGGAGTAAATTTGGAGCCAAGTTCTATATTAGGAAAAGTAATTTATTTATAAATAAAATAGAAAAAAAACCCACCATGATCATGTGCTCTACATGATCATGGTGTTTCCAGGAGGTGGGCAATTATTTTTGCCATGGAGCACATATGAATCAGAAAATATTGTGGAGGGCCAGGGCAAAATGCTTAACTCAATTTTGCATAATATTAATTATATTTCCTTATAAAAAAAGCAGTAAATAACATTGTTTTAACAAGCTGGTAAGACTGGTAAGAGGATGTGTTAGGACTAAGCAATGAAAAAGTGAGGTTGCCTTACAAAAATTTTCTAAAATAAAAGCAATGCAGCTTTAGTGCATGCATGAGGTAAAATGATAAAATATGTTTATTTTGTAATGCCAAAGTAGCTTGAACGGGCCGGTCAGAGTCAACTGAAGGGGCTTATGTGGCCCGGGAGCTGTACAATGCCCAGGGCTGATGTAGAGTGTGTTAATATGAAAGATTTTAAGACCAAAATGACGAAACTCGCTGCAGCAGTTATAGAGAGAGGAGTTGATGGAGCGGTAATCGGCCCAGTGCTCACTTCCTATTTGGAATAAGGCTAGTGGGTTAGCTACTGTATGTCCATACACTCTATGGTGTGAATTCATGGCATCACCAAGAGTGTCATGTTGAGTCTATACACTTATCAGTCAAATATGAGCCAAATAAAAAAAAAAATGCAATCAGAGGAAAATGGATGGATGGTTGAATTATTTGTACTTACTTAAAAACTGAAAATAGAACATTGTAAATCCAACTAAATTTTGAGATATTTCCATTATTTCCAGATGGTAATTAGCTGACTATATGTTGTTTATGTTTCTTACAGGTGGCAGTGGATATAAGACAATGGGGTTAGGCTGGAAAATGGCCACAGAGGAAAAAAACTGGTGGCAGGAGTGGCAAGCAGCAGAATACCATGGCAGTGATAAGTGAAGGAGGGAGGGGCTTGGTTTTAGACACTGATGCAAGCATGAGTGAGTGATCCCAAAGAGCAACGCTGGAGGCCCGAGCACCGCCTGGCACCGACTGGTCACACTCTGCCACACTGCAGGTCCGGCGCCCCCCTCTGGCCTATGGTGGCTTTTTGGCCCCAGAGCCGTGCCCCGCTCCACTGAAGGGGGTAATGGGGGGAGTGCCAAGCCAAGGCGTGCTGATGTGGGCGAGGTGAGTCACAACCTGTTAACGTGACTGCTGTCCCCGGCCTGACACCGACGCACACACGAACCCACCAGCCCCATCCAAGGCCCAACCCTGCCAGCGCTCCCTCTTCTCTCATCCAGATCAAATTCTTTCAGACACAAATTTCAATTATTCACCTCATCCAAATAATGCCATGTGACAAGAATTATCCCTACTGTAATAATCCACTTAACTGGGAAAGAGCAGCTCATCAAAAAGAGAGGCAGAAAAGGGGCAGGAAGTAAGGCTGGTGGTGCTGGGGGGAGGTGGAGAGAGAGGGGAGGGGGGGACTTGTCAACCACTCTCGAATCAGGACCCTCGTAACAAGAATTTCTTCCCTTTTTGAGGAGGCAGTCTTGAAGCGCAGTGGGATGATGAAATTGAAGTAAATTGAAAGAAAGCCTGAGAGAATGCTCCCACAATCAATAACCCCAGGATTAAATTAGCCTTGGCATGAAGGGATGATGGGGGGAGGATGAAGAGTGAATGGTGCTGAATGACATTGAGACATGTAGGCTCGACAATACAGCACTTTGGTGTGCCGGACACTGTACCCAAACAAGGACAGTGAACACACCTGCAAAATACACTGCATACACAAGGCGTGAATGAAGACCCCTGCCAGTTATACAACACAAGTTATACTAAAATATGGCACACAACACTTTGGACAGTCATGAGTCCATCTTTATTTTCTATATATCCATACTAAGAATGCATAATTAAATGACACCATAACTGAGAACTCTTGTGCACAAATTTGCAAAATACAGATAATAGCCAGCTATTGTCAATGTTGTTTTGAAGATATACTCGATATTCAAAATTGTGCATATAACTTTGATAATGCATAAGAACTGATTAAAAATGGCAAACACTTACTGTATTGTACATGTCCCAATGTATTTTTCTATATCACCCACCCCTACAGTGAACACACAAAATTAAAGCTAAGCAGAACTGAAGGGATAATTTTGCTTTTTCAGTTTTATAGACCAATTTTTGCTAAGTCTGCTTGTAGTTGTGAACCATCTTCACAACTGCATGCATTAAAGCACCCATGCAAAAAGGGCTTTACTTACACAATTAATTTATTAAATCAGATAATAATAAATATACTATGTATACATATTCTTAAAACAACATTTAACCTCAAGTAAAGCTGGATAGCATTACAATGTTAAATAACAGTTGCCCAAACATGTCACGTGCAAGTTCTCTTTGTAGTTAATGTAAAATTTTGTATGGATAAATGCACACCACCCCAGTGTCAGTCTGTAAATTGGATTTTATACATTTTTTGTTGCAACATAATATGGTAATTAATTATTTTCAGGCCAGTAACTGTTTAAAAAAGTTGTCATTGATCAAAAGTATTTTAAAAGACAGTAATTTGCTTTGAGCAGTGAGAATTGTTTTACAAAGTATCATCAACTTCTATAATTAACTAAAAATCACAAACTAAACACTAAATCTTTGATCCAAGTGTTGCTCTAGAGTCAGAGTTCGCCTTAAACACAACAATGGCCTCCACCAATTATTTAAAAGCAGGTGGTGGAATAAAAACATGATTAAAGCCCTTTGGCTGATAAAATGAACCTTTCTCTGTGCTTTTCCTCTAAAGCACAAGAACATGAAGAAGTCTCTCATTATGAGCTTGGGGACGTCAGTGTGCCACCAAAGCAGCTAATTGGGAACCTTTAACACTTGATCTTGTATGGGGAATATGCCGTATAATCCTATTTGATTAAAAATTGCTCCTTGGTAAAAACAAAGGTCTTTCAAGCCGAGGTGACAGTCAAGTCTTTGAAAATAATAAAATAGAAGCATTTTCTAAGAACAAAGTTTCATATAACTCACTCATGATTGGGTAACGAGTAAAGTTTACCCAATATGTAAGCTAAAAAGATTACACAGGTTAATAAGTTGTTCAGACTCACCAGAGCGTCTCGAGGAGGTGCTGTAGCCTCATCTCCAGGAACAAGAGATGTCTGAAGAGATGAAGCAATACTTATGTTAGACTGCCATCTACTGGACACTATATTTATTACAAAAAATATAGTGTATACTAAAAAATATATGTAGCATATGGATATGGTCTTACATACTGTAATCCTACTATAACATACATGTACTATACTAGTATATTTTACTTATTCAAAGGTGCACTGACTATGCTAACTTTTCTGGTGGAGGGTCTCCCACCTGCTTGGCCCCATGGAGATGTTATTGCTTTGCCTGGAAATCTCCACAGTGTAATATCTAACTTGTATGTATTTTACATTTATAGAATTAAAGGGGTTATTTCTCAAAAATGACACAGAAAACATATATTTTTACTGTGAGTAGGGTCTCGCCTCTCCACAGATTTGACCATTAACTTGACCTGATGCTTACTCTTTTGTTTCCATGAATATAAAAAAGTTCAATGCCAAACTGTGAACGACTCCAAAGAATGGAGACAGGCAGGCAGCAGACCCTCCACCAGAAAAGTTACATAGTGCACCTTTAAAAACACCACTTCAGTATAAAATATAACAATGATGAAATATCAGTCTACAAGGCCACATAAAATATAGTGGTGTAGTCAGCACAAACTAATAATGCCTGGCACGTATTATCTTATATCTGATAATAGACTTACAAATGTATACCATATCAGTATAGTACACAGTATTGTAGCGTATTACACAACATCAGATTGTTAGCTATTGTGTAATGTGTACAAGAATTGTTCAGTCTTAAGCTCTGTATTGTTATCTATTTATCATGTGCATCTGTGCCACAGGTTGCATGATTTCTCATTTAAGGACACAGATTCGCCAGATTGCATTGTATATGAGCCTAGGGTAACCAGATTTTCAGAATTAAAAACTGGGACACACCTGGGTTGGGATGGTTGGTATAAATAAAATTGTGAAAAGAGCACGTAACATTGCATTGTCCATTCTCAACTCACTTGTAGGTCAGTCATAATCTGAGGGACTGCTTATTTTTTTTTGTCTTATTGTAATTTTTATGCATGGTTTCTATATCTTACCTAAACAAAGCACAATAAATGCCTCTCTTTACTGCTGGTGGGGATCAAATTGGTCAGAAATGGGGACAACTGGGACATTTCTTGTACAACACTTGGACAAATCACTGGTTTTGTATAAATCTGCTGGGATAGGAGACACGGGACTCAAAACTGGGACTGTCCCAGGCAAAGAGGGACATCTTGTCACTCTATATGAGCCATATCTTTGCCAAACATAGATGCTACAGCCAGCCAGCTTGCAGCACCAAAAGCAAAGCATTGTTGCTTGCTAACATTGACCTTTTATCAGTGTCTGCTTAGTGGCTAAAATCTAAGAATGTAGAATGCAAATAACTAAATATAAAACACTGTCAGGGAAGATCTTACAGGGAGATTTGAACAGTATTAGGTAAAGTAGCCAAGCACCGTGTCACATGTCAAACTAATGCCTTGCTGTGAACTTTCCTACTGTTAGCAAAAACATGCTAACTAGCCCCTATGCTAACATGTGTCATAAAAGACCATTTGAAGCCGCAAACATTTGCAATCTTCCGACCAAACACGTAAAATTACTGAAACACTTCACAACACACGTGTCAGCAAAATAGATGTTATTTTTAGTAAAAGGCATAAACCTGTGTTGATGGGTCAGACTCAGTAGATGTCATCTTTCTTCGTTTTCTTCTGGCTGTGTTGTGTGGTTCGATTACATCCGTCTCGATTACTCTTTCTGGCCAAGTGCACCTAAAGTTCAATGTTGTAAACAGAGTATTTCATGGATATATTGATTTAAACGTGACAGTAAAGCCAAATTCCTAAAACAAACAGTAGTCCAATAATTTAGATCTGATTTTGGTATGTGTCTACATGCACAAAATCAATCTGATCATCAAAACACAGGATTAGGTTGAATGAAAGTATCTTAAAGGGCCCATTACACTAGTTTCTAATCTAATGTTGTTTCATCAAATACATACCTGGTGTTGTGTTTTTGTTACATTCAGAAATGTTTAACTCACAAACCTGCATATTTAGCCTGAGTTCTAAAATAATTGGAATAACTTCAGCCCTGGTTTTCAGCCAAATCTTCACTAACCAAGTAAAAGGAAACTGTACACTTGAAAACTACCACTTCCTGACATCACAATGTGAAACAGAGATTTTTGAGGGTTACTCAGACGTGTGGATGAAAAACACAACTCCAGATATGTTTTTGAGGAGGTTAACAGGCTAACATGGCATAAATGGCATATGACCTTTAAGCTAGTTCCTTAAATTTTTGTATAATTGTATAATTTTTGTATAATTTCCATTGTCAAAATATGCACTAGTGTAAACAGTCAGAAATAAATCACATGAGATGTAACTGTTTATGAATTCATTCGAATCAGAAGGTTGGTTGTGCATGTTAACATAGCTACTGCTAGATGGCAGCATAGACATATTTCTGTGGTTCTCAAGCCTGAAGAAGAGACATGGAAATAAAGACACTTCCGTGTTGGTTAAGCCTGAAAATTCGCGGTTGGCTGTCTCTCACTGCCATTGGATCTATTAGTGACAAAGTAGTAACATAAAGTTCTTTATATTCATCATTCGACTAAGCGAGGATGGCGGGTGGAAAACCGTGCCGAGTCTGCAATTACACACGCCAGAAATCTGTTGGCTTGGCTGTACCGTCTATAGATGAACTCAAGATAAAGGGTAAGTTTATATATATATATATTTTTTTTTTAATTTAGAGCAGGAACTTTCATGTGTTTGCAGGATTCAAAAAATGGGTTTGGTGGAATTAGATTTAGCTGGAGTTTATATGCATTTTGGATCGTATCTACTATCTAGCAAATCTTAATAGTCATCTCATTCTTGTCGAAACTTGTTGGATTACACTTGAATGCTCTGTCCTGTTCTCATTCCTTAGAAATGTTGCCCAACGCACTATGAATCACTTCTCTGCCATGCAGTTTTAGGGTTTAATACAGAAGATAATGTATGAATTTTACATTAAAGGTTAAAAATACAGCTTTTATATTGGACTGTGTTTACAAGTTTTTAATGAACTTTTGCACCTTGGGAGTTGCTTGTCAGACCAAAAGGCGAAGTGAAACATCAATCACTGTAAGTTTCGTTCCTGAAAACACCAACACTGACACGCCTGTCTTTGTCTCACATACCAATGTCATGTGTAACCTGCGAAGCACTCGTGTTTACACCTTTCACTTCTCATGCTTAACCTATTTGTATTTATTTTTATAAATTAAGCAGATGATTATGTCGTGGTTCTATCTGAGACTTGAACTTTTTCAAAGTTAATAAAGTTTGTTTTAATGTGTAATAAAAACGATCTGCATTTTCTGCTGAGGCATTGAAAAAATGCAGACCTCCAAGCATCAGCTTCTGCGACATGTGTTTCTGTCCCCAGATAACCTAAAGACTGAAGAGTTTTTGGTTTTTTTTTTCAGGAGGGGAGTCCCTCGGTTTCAGTCCGAGCTCCTCAGTCAAGGTAGTCCTTGAAGAAGATGGTACGATTGTGGAGGATCAAGCCTACTTTTTATGTTTACCACTCAACACAAAGTTTATGCTTTTGGCTGAAAAAGAGACGTGGTCACCAGTTAAAAAGGGTACGTTTACTTTGCTTTACCTTCCTACAGTACATTGTAAGTATAATAATGTATAATAATGTAATGAAGTGATGTTGTTTTGCAGTGGATGGCGGCACAGCGTGGATGGCGCGGGACTCTGTGCTGATGGACACAGATGAGGTGGATGCTGCTGTTTATCCCTGGGTCAATTTGGCTCAGCGGCTGAAGGAGGACATGGCAAGTGTCATCCTCATGGCAGAGGCAGATTTACAGGTACAGCAACATTATTTCTTATGAATGACATTTGTTTTTACTACATACACAATGGCTTTATGTTTTATGCTACTCAAAAGGAACTGAACAGGGTTACTATTATGAATGCATTTCTCTCTTGTAGATGTTGATAGATGTCCCTCACGCTGAGCTGGCCTCTGCTCTGGGCTATGACAAGAAAAGAACCGAGGACCTCCAGGAGACACTGCAGAGATATTTGGACAGAAAGGAAGAGGAGAGACAGTCTAAAGAGCTGCTACAGCTTTACTTCAAAGCTATGAATCAAGGGCAAGGCCCTGAACATCAAAGTAATTCCATTTTATTGTCACCTATATAATATTTCTGTTTTCGAATCTTAAAGTATATAAAGTCTGCCTGCCATTGTATGTAGAAAGATTTTCTATTAACTGATTCCACTACTTATATTGATATTACGTTATATTTTGTGGGATGTAATTCTACTGTGTTGACAGCAGGTGGAGCTATTGTCTTTGAATCACAAATTCAAGAGAAACTGTATGGATTAACCTGTTCCATTATTATAGCGGAGTCTGGAGTGGGAAACTTGGATGTCCCTGATGGGATGGAGGTTGACTCAGCGTCTGGGTTCCTGACTCGGACGATCATGGTTCTGAAAGGAAAAACTAGCCCTGAAACCAGGCTCTCCACAGAAGACCTGCAGGTATACTCTAGCAGTCAAACAAAAATGCTGTTCCTCTCAAATCATACGGTGACCAGCAGTTGCAGTGATGTTGCTTCTGTTGTTTCACCACAGTTTACAACTCCATCATTAGGTGTTTAGATTGGTCATGTTGCCTTTCATTTCTTACACTGTTAAACAATTAAATCTAGTTTAAATGTAATTTTCACATTATTGCATCTTTTGGTAACACTTTATTATGACTAACTGAGGTGTAGTTACTATAAAATAGAAGAAAACTAAAAAGTCTTAATTCATAATGAACAAATAGCTTACTGATATGAGTCAGGCTTAGTACGGTAACTATTTAATTAATACCCTAACTTCTAACCCCTTAATGAATAGCTATGCCTGAGTCATTCTTAATACACTATTAAATTATGAATTAAGTCTTCATGCTTCATGCCTTGCATGCAAGGCTGTAAATAGTATAGTTATTTTAAAGTGTTACCATCTTTCTTTCTTGCTTAGCTGGTGGTGAGTCGAGGAGTGGAACCCATGGAACAGATTTTGGGCTGGGACAGAGGCAGGACGTCCTCTCTGCTGCAGGCCTGTGAGGCAGAGCTGAAGAAGAGACTTGAGCAGATCCGGGCAGTCCAATTCCTCAGGAGTAACTCTCAAATTGACAGCAACCCAACACAAGACCGCACAAGCACAGAGCAGGACACAGTGGCCCAGGGTGACCAGTAGAGGATGGCCTTCACCTGAGAAAAGACTGCTAAAGAGTTCATATTACTGCCTCAGGGTTGAAGGAATTGGCTGTTACTAAGAATATCTGTGATACAAATGTTAATATTAATTTTATACCACTTTGCCGGCTTTAACCACTTGGAACTGGGTGACTAGCTGCCAAAACTAATTACCAATTTGGGTACTTTTCATATTTTTCTTTGTTATGCAATGGTAATGTGACATGTTTTATGAACATCTCTTTTTATTTATGTTTTTTTTTTTTTATTCTTTATGTTTACTCCATAGATTTTGTCTAAAAAGAAAGTGTATTTTTGTATTTTCCTGAGAGGGTCTTAATGTAATCATTGTTTATGATTCAGTAATGAGGGGAAATCAACCACACTTTCATAATTTACTGTAGTTGATAAGTTGAACTAACTTTTAATGCCTTCTTATTGGAATGCATCTGAAGGCTCAAACCATTTTACAGCATTGTTGTACCACAGAACATGCAATACTTTTCTGTGTTTGTTTCCTCCAGCTTCATAAATACAGTGTAATTACATTTGGTACAATATTGTGAATAGGGGTGTTTTAGTAGACTCGCTGAAGATCTTGTCTGTGGTTGACATAGGGGTAATATCACTATGTTCATACAAAAGTTGCACTAAAGCAGTATTTCTGGATGAATGCTCCCATAATCATATACCATTATGGAAGTTATGAGTCTATTGGCTATATGATGCAAGGAAAATGAGTCATAGGTCATGTCTGCTGTCAACACAGTCATCTCCTTATAAAGTAATGCAAATCACACTGTTTTGGTTTAAAAAACGATTATACGGCAGCTGTGTTTTTGCAAGATTGAGATGTCACCAAAGTCTTGTAGTTGAATATTGGATACAAGAAGGGGTTTATTGCTTGATTCTCTTCTTCATATTTTTCAAAATGACAGTACCGAGATGATTCTGACAAAACATCACAAAACTGAAACACCAAATAAAAGAAAGTGATACAAGATGCCGATAGTAACTGTCAAACTTTTAGAACAAAAATCCTATATTTTCTGAAATACAATAGCAAAGGTTTCCCAAGAAAGGTAAACTAAACAGGCAGTAGAAATATTCATGGTAAATTGAGTTATTAATTGGGGGAAAATTATGAGTTTGTTAGCAGATGAAGTCCAAGTGTGCTTTTTCTATCACATGTAGTGTAATATAATAGGATTGTTAATTCATAATATTCTTCAATATGATGCAATAGACTACCAAACTAGTCTTTTTAAAGGGCTTCATATTACGATATTTTATTATCTACGTTATAATGTTTCCACATCAAAAACATATTTGGAGTTGTGTTTGTTTCATTCAGCACATAAACCCTGCATATTTATGCTCCACCTTCCACCTTGTGATGTCATGTGGTAATACAGAAAGTGCTCCATTGTGTTTTTAAACTCCACATACCTTCACTAGGATCACTTAGATGATTTCAGCCCTGGAACTGCCCATCTCCACTAAGCAGAAGATAAAAGGAGCTGTTAACTTGAAAACTGCTGCTTCGTGACATCACAAAGTGGAACAGAGCATTTTGAGCTTTGGCGACAGACTAATAAAGATTTACTCAAACGTGTGAGTAAAACAAAACACAGCTCTGGGTATGCTTTTAATGAGGTAAAAACAATGGCTTAAAGCTTGCAACAGTCAATTTTGTGTAATATAGAACCTTTAACAGTCATCCTCCCCCTGTGTTTGATGCTACATTGTTGATTACTTCATTCTTACTCTAGGCCTATTTGCTGCATGCTGCTACCAAGTATCTCCCAACAGTAGCCTAATAGGAGTCATGGTGTGCGTAATTCCTGTGAAATTGGCCCCGACCAGGAACAACACAAGGACTGAGTGAGCATCTGACAGCACTGATCCCTGCCACACTGGGATTACATTAGGAGTTAACTGACGTCAGCTCCAGTAAGAACAGTTTTAGTTTAGCTTTGTAAGAAATCCCTGCCCTGAGGAGCCTGTAGACATTTCATGCTGCAGACCTTATTTCTTGTGGTTTGATGATGTAGACCTTTAGCCACTGGGATCCAAATGCCAAACCAGTGTATGGGTCAATGGGTCTGATTTTCCAGCAATGACCAAATACAGTCCCTGACAAAAGTCTTGTCGCTTATCCATTTTGTAGAAACAAAAGCTTATAACATGACTTTAAATTAATCGATTGGTTTTAGAAATGTCACATATGAAAGCTAAAACCCTCCCAAATTATGCTCAATATACTAAAATAAATTTGCTTCACTGAAGAAAGATTGATCATTTAATGAACACAGAAAGGTCAGATTTTGGCAAGACAAAAGTCTTGTCGCCTTGTCATATGATGCACCCAATCCTAGATTACAGCCTCACCTGTGATCAGTTACTGATCAATCAGTTAGTGGGTGTGTATAAAAAGAACCCCAGCACACCAGACCTTCACATCAACTGCAACTTGACCTCTGACAACATGCCTAAGATCCACCCTGAGACCAAAGCGTTAATTATCAAGAGGCTGAAGACCAGATCCACTGCTGAGGTGGCTGACACCTTCAATGTGTCTCAGCGTCAAGTACAAAGAATAAGAAAAAGATCTGAAATGACTGGAGATGTTTTTGACAAGCCCAGGTCCGGCAGACCCCGCAAGACAACTGCTCGGGAGGACCGTTTGTTGATTCGAAAATCCAAGACCAGCCCCTTTTCCACTGCAGCAGAGCTCCACCAGGCCTGGTCACCTCAAGTCCCTGTGTCAACCAGAACAGTTTGTAGAATTCTGTCTCAAAATGACCTCCATGGTCGAATCAGTGCACAGAAACCAGCACTAAACAAAAGGCAATAAAAAAACCGTGTGGCATTTGCCAAGGCCCACAGCCTGGCAAATGCAAGGATGGACACTGGAAAAGTGGCAGAAGGTGGATTTCTCAGATGAATCCTCGGTTGAATTACATCACAGCCGGCGCAAATATTGCAGGAGACCTAATGGTGCCCGCATGGATCCAAGATTCACCCAGAAAACAGTTAAGTTTGGTGGCAGAAAAATCATGGTCTGGGGTTACATCCAGTATGGGGGTGTGTGAGACATTTGCAGGGTGGAAGGCAATATCAATAGCCTAAAATATCAAGAAGTATTAGCTACCTCTTACATTCCCAACCATAAAAGGGGTCAAATTTTGCAGAAGGATGGTGCTCCATCGCATACTTCTATCTCTACATCAAAGTTTCTCAAGGCGAAGAAGATCAAGGTGCTCCAGGACTGGCCAGCCCAGTCACCAGACATGAACATCACTGAGCATATCTGGGGTAGAATGAAAGAGGAAGCATGGAAGGCAAAACCAAAGAATCTTGATGAACTCTGGGAGGCATGTAAGACTGCTTTCTTTGCTATTCCTGATGACTTCATCAACAAATTGTATGAATCATTGTCAAACCGCATGGATGCGTCCTTCAAGCTCATGGAAGTCATACAAGATATTAAATATGGATCTCACAGCACCACTACTTAATTCACTGACGTTATGCAACATATTTGTGTATTTGAAGTAAATTATTTGTTCAATTTTCTGTAGGTGACAAAACTTTTGTCTTGCCAAAATCTGACCTTTCTGTGTTCATTAAATGATCTTTCTTCAGTGAAGCAAATTTATTTTAGTATATTGAGCATAATTTGGGAGGGTTTTAGCTTCCATATGAGACATTTCTAAAACCAATCGATTAATTTAAAGTCAGGTTATAAGCTTTTGTTTCTACAAAATGGATAAGCGACAAGACTTTTGTCAGGGACTGTATCTTATTACACATTTAAAATCACAACAATGCAATTAAATAGGGCTATAGGTGATGTGATAGTAACTAAATTGTGATCTAAACCCATCCATCCATTTTCTTCCGCTTATCTGGGGCCGGGTCACGGGGGCAACAGTCTGAGGAGGGCCTCCCAGACTTCCCTCTCCACACACACGTCATCCAGCTCTTCCAAGGGGATCCCGAGATGTTCCCAGGCCAGCCGAGAGACATAGTCCCACCAGCGTGTCCTGGGTCTTCCCCGGGGCCTCCTCCCGGTGGGACATGCCCGGAACACCTCCCGAGGGAAGCATCCAGGAGGCATCCAAAACAGATGCCCGAGCCACCTCAACTGGCTCCTCTCGACGTGGAGGAGCAGCAGCTCTACTCCGAGCTCCTCCCGTGTGACTGAGCTCCTCACCCTATCTCTAAGGGAGCGCCCACCACCCTGCGGAGGAAACTCATTTCAACCGCTTGTATCCACGATCTTATCCTTTCGGTCATTACCCAAAGCTCATGATCATAGGTGAGGGCAGGAACGTAGATTGACCGGTAAATCGAGAGCTTCACCTTTCGACTCAGCTCCCTCTTCACCACAACGGCCCGATACAGCGACCGCATCACTGCCGATGCTGCACTGATCCGCCTGTCAATCTCACGCTCCATCCTCCCCTCACTCGTGAACAAGACCCCGAGATATTTAAACTCCTCCACTTGAGGCAGGGACTCTCCACCCAACCGGAGAGGGCAAGCCATCTTTTTTCCGGTCGAGGACCATGGCCTCGGACTTGGGGGAGCTGATCTTCATCCCAGCTGCTTCACACTCGACTGCAAACCGCCCCAGTGCACATTGCAGGTCCTGGTTTGATGGAGCCATCAGGACAACATCATCTGCGAACAGCAGAGATGAGATCCTGTGGTCCCCAAACCAGACCCCCTCCGGCCCCTGGCTGCACCTAGAAATTCTGTCCATAAACACAATGAACAGAACCGGTGACAAAGGGCAGCCCTGGCGGAGTCCAACATGCACTGGGAACAGGTTTGACTTACTGCCGGCAATGCGAACACAGCTCCTTCTTATACAGAGGGACCACCACCCCGGTTTGCCCGTCCAGAGGTACTGTCCCCGACCGCCACGCGATGTTGCAGAGGCGTGTCAACCAAGACAGCCCCACAACATCCAGAGACTTAAGGTACTCAGGATGGATCTCATCCACCCCTGGAGCCTTGCCACCAAGGAGCTTGCCAACCACCTCAGTGACTTCAGCCAGGGTGATGGACGAGTCCGCCTCTGAGTCCCCAGCCTCTGCTTCCTCCTCGGAAGACGTGACGGTGGGATTGAGGAGATCCTCAAAGTATTCGTTCCACCGCCCGACAACATCCCCAGTCGAGGTCAACAGCTCTCCCCCCGCACTGTAAACAGTGTTGGTAAAGAACTGCTTCCCCATCCTGAGGTGTCGGACGGTTTGCCAGAATTTCTTTGAGGCCGTACAATAGTCCTCCTCCATGGCCTCCCGATGATCTAAACCATGTGGTGATATGCTATTTTAGTGATATTGTCACTGTGATTTAGTGCAGTGCAGATCATTTTCCCACCCACTCCTAATTGGTCAGCCTCCTTCATGCTCTGACTGAGTGACCGGTGAATTTAATCTTACACAGTGAAGCGTAAACTCTCAGATAGTTCTACTTATCTACTTGTATTAAATGCAGTATAAAGCTACATCATGTACATTGCAATCAGTATTCTAGAAAATGGTGATATTTTCTTTCCCATCTCTTCAATTACCAGTAAATATGTCTTATGTTGAGGAATTGTTTCTTCCAAGAAGAAAAACTGAGGGGCAGATTACTTACTGACACATTTTCCAATTAATTAATATGTAATATGTAATCTTAAAGGTACACTGTTTGACATTTCTAGTAGAGGGTCTGCCACCTACTTATCTCCACGGAAATGTTATTGCTTTGTCTAGAATGTTCCAGACTATAAATGGAGAGGGAGACAAGTAAATTAGAGGACTACGTCACGTGGCCCCTATTCACAGAAGGAATTATTGTATTTTTGAGCACAGATTAAATACTAGATGTATAAGTTTAAAGTCATATCATGGAACATTCTAGGCAAAGCAATAACATTTCCAGAGTAGTGGGCAGAAGTTGGTACCCTCCACCAGAAAAGTTGCATAGTGCACTTTTAAGTTCAAAGTCATTGGCTGCATTTAACAACAAGAAATTTTAGTCTTCAAAAAGTTTTTTGGGTCACATTCCCTATTACCACGCCACTGAAGAGTGGGACAGGTAATCCCTGGTGGACAGTTCCCATATAAAGTTGTGTATAACTGACTGACAACTGTGACACTCTCAGACAACCACCAGGGATCATTCCTGTCACGTGCATGTGTTTGGATGGGTGACATAAGATGGAGAATCCATAGGATATATAGCCTGCAATAGGGTGCAGTGTGAGTCAGACAGCCTACAAACACATTGACTATTTTACACCACTGTTACGGTACACACAGAAAAAGCAGTATCAATTTCAGTACTGTAGTTGTAGTAAGAGTCATAAGTTAATAGATTCCTGAACATGTTAATCAGATGCATTATGTGATCATGTGCCTCCAAGGAGTTACATAGACCCTGGATGATTCAACACAAGAGAATTTCAATCCTTTATCCAAGTAAACTGAGACTGTGCTCTCCTGCCCCTCTTGAGCGCCACAGATGGAGGAAGTGTTGGTGAGTGCGTTCAAAAGTGCTGAACAAGAGGCAATTTGACAGACCTGAAGAAGCCTGTAATGACTGTTTTGATAAAGAAGTACAGCTAAAGAGTGACTGAATGAGCTGAATAATGCATAAGGGTTAAACGCCTTCACTGCTGTGAGAACTGAGCTAAGAGACCTCTATACAACACTTATGTTATGGTATGTATGCATTATTTTGACCTGACATATGGTGTGCCAGTTATAATGAGATTCATAAAATATTAATCACATAAACATACAAATTTGATATTGATATTTAAACTGTGATTTTAATTCGTCTTTCAATTATTTATTCAGAAATAACAAACATCTGATTAGACAAGTACAATTAAAACTAAAATGTACATGCCTTAAAAGAGTCAAAATCTAAACTGAGACCAAAACAATATGAAAGAGGGACTTAATAAAGAAAAAGCATGAATTAAAATGTCTTTTCTTAACTCACTTTTTTTTCAATATATTCTGTACCTGCTACAACTACTATAGAAATAAAAAACATATGAACCTGTCAAAAAAGGAGTAAAAATGAATATAATGTATTCAACAGCATCATTAATTTAACTGCTCTCATAAGGCACTTCTTTAGCCACAGGGGCTGATATATTTTGTCTTTACTGAATGAATAATGAAAAGATAGATGCGACCATAGAAGCCATACAGTAAAGTCTAACTCTATACTATATCATACATTGTACGACTGTCCCCTGTTACAGCTGTCATTCATCAAACTTTGACACTACTATACTTCATTTTCCATCCTTTGTTTCGCCCACTGCTGTCCGATCTGAAAGCCACATGGACTTGGTAACTTCCTGTATCGATGTTATTCGGAGGTGTAGATCCACAAAAAGGCCCATACTCCTGTCCGGTGGTAGAAATCTTTCAAACAGGGAGACACATTTAGTCACTACATTCTTTCCTGATTGATGCCTGCCTAAACGTACATATGCATAGCCCCACATGTCTAAGCAGTTTGTCTCCACTGGTGGACAGATCAGTGATAGTCCTCCCACACACAAGCATGAGGTGGAATATATTGAGGTACATGACTTACTCGGAGCAGGTCGTAGGGACAGGGAACCTCCGGGTGGCTCTCTATATCAAAGGGTGCAGAGAAGTCCAGCAGGATTCTGTAGCCCTCTGGTAAACTGATGGTGTGGTTACACTGGGTCATGGGGGGGTATGGGTTTGGGTATCCAGGACTGGTCAGAATGCCAGAGAGGTCAGTCCAGATTTGGCTCTTACACGGCACTGGGAAGATAATAGATATATTTTTAAAACTTCGATTATTGCTGTAGATGTTTGGAGGTTTTGTATTTCAGGGCTGCCATAATGTACCTTACTTGTAAATGCATTGCTATAAAAACACTCTGTAATATATTAATATAACATTTCCTACACAATAGAACATCTCATTCATGCAAACTATATACAAATACTGCATTTTGTGACAGCACAGTTTTGATGACTGTTAAAGCAACCATTTGCAAGTTCATTTAATTTTTTTTTTACAAGTCTGTCAGGCCAAAGCTGGATCACTATAAGACAGCAGTAACGTAGAGAGCATCTAGTGGTGATATGTGAGAATACAACAGGCCAATATAATTACAGATGGTAGCTTTAAGAAAGCTTTTTACACATATAGCTTATAAAGGGACAGTTCGGAATTTTGGACATAGGGCCTCGTGTCCTAGTGAGCCAGAATGTTGGAGACATGTGAAGACACTTTTTTAAAATATTCCATCCAGTCCTTGTATTTGCAGATGTCTCTGGTGCTAGGCTAGCTTATGTCAATGGGCAAAGTTAGCCTGCCACTAAAACGATCTTACCCACTCCACAAAGCACTATTATTACGTCAGACAATCAATGTAAATGTCTGTGTTGACAGAATAATGTCCTTGCATCGCATGAATCGTCACATGTTCAGGAACTATTTTCTAATATATCAGTCTGTCGCTGCCAAGCTTTCTATCAGGAAGTACAACTCACTGCTGCTGCTCAGACACAAATTCTGCAAGGTTGGTTTTACTTTTAAAATTATTCTATCAACACAGACATTCACATCAACAGTCTAGCGTTATAATTGTTTTGCCTTGGGTGCTTTGTGGAGTGGGTAAGTCTGTTTATAGCGGCAGGCTAACTATGACCATTGACAGGCACTAGCCTAGCACCAAACCTCTAACCTCTGCAAATACAAGGACTGGATGGAATATTTAAAAAAGTGTCTCCACACGTCTCCAACACTCTGGCTAACTAGGAAATGGGGCTCACAGTGTCCAAAATTCCGAACTGTCCCTTTAATAATAGTTTTGCATTCTTCTAAGACCTTTAATGTTACAGTTTCTCCATTCATGCTGTATGCAAGTATTAAGAGTTTAACAATAATAGGCAACTTTTTTCAATGTTGTTTGAGACATTTCTCATAAATGATGGTCTTCATTTAGCTGCTGTTATTGCATTGCCATGTGTGGCAGATGTGAGGGCAGACCAAAACAAATGAGTCACGCAGAGGGGCACAGTCAATGCCATTCATATTATTAGTGAAATCTAGAGGCAGATAATCATTTTTGCCTATTCATTGCATGATTTGTTTTGTCAGTGCTTTTTTCCTCTGGCAAAGAATAATAATGTGCAGCACATCAACTGGTAATTGTGATTAATTACTCAGTGCCAGTGGACTATTAGCACTGTGCACAGGTTTAAATTTTTAATGCCTTTTTAAAGTCACTTTTCCCGCAGGACTCCACAGTAATTAACCTTGTCTACACCAACTGGCAAAGATCAGCTACTGAAATAGTGAGCACAAGCCAGCTGTGATCAAATGAAAACAGCTATGAACACTGACAAGAGGTGAACAAATCAATAGCCACTTTTACCATTTCACTCATTTCGAATACATTTTAACAGAATAGTACAGATATCTTTCTTTTCTGATCCATCAACAATTTCCTTCTGGGCAAGGAAAAAAATCCCCCCCCAAAAAAACAGTGACCTCAAAGAAAACCACAGTCAAAGAGAAATTCTCAGTTTGAACACTTTTTGAATACTTCTTTAACCCCTGACCCTAACATGGGCTGATGATTGGTTCTATAGCCTATTTTCAGAAGGTGACACTTGGCTCAATTGGAAACAGTATTGAAAATGGCTTTAGAGCACTGTGCAGTTTACCTCACAGTAGTAGCATGGGATTCTGAGAAATACTTACATTACAAAATCCACTGCTATTAGAAAGATCAATATTTGGTCAAACAGCTTTGCGTCAGGGTCCTGCCCCCTCTCCCCATTGACTTAGATTGAACCACAGATAAACATACCTTTTTGGAGTCTGTTACCTGTGCAGGATCTGTTGTTGTCATGGAGAAAGTATCCCTGTTGACAAGTGCAGTAATATCCGCCGATGTAATTGTGGCAGAAATGATCACACACATGCTCTCCATCCACCTTCAAGAAACACTCGTTGATGTCTACAAAACGTGTGATACATTTTTTAAAGCAAAATTATTTACTTTTTAATCACAGTGCAACAGTACTAGAAAGAATTGCATCATATATTTTAGCAAGATGAACCACAAAATAAAGTAAATAAGTAAATCTTTATTTATATAGCGCTTTTCACAGATATATGTCACAAAGCTGCTTCACAGAGCATTATAGATTCATTATTCTTTCTCTCCACACCCTGTGATGGTAGGCTACTATTGTAGCTGCCATGCCAATCAGCGCCATCGGTCCCTCCGACCACCACCATCACTCACGCACACACCAATTTCATACTATAGGCAATGTGGGTGAAGTGTCTTGCCTACGGACACAATGACAGCTTTTTCTGTGACTGGCACCCCACTGTGGCACCTGATTTTCCCAGTGGTCTCCCATCCGAGTACTAACCAAGCCCAGCCCTGCTTAGCTTCTGAGATCTGACGGGATCAGGCTTTGACAAGCCGGTATGGCCAAAGTGAATGCATAGCCATTAACCACTTACATAACTGTAAAAAGATTCACATGAATTTGCAAGAGCCGCAAACGGAGGGAATTATTTAGATATTATTAAATTTTTTCATGGATCTTTGTGTTTAAAAATCCAATCACAAGAAGTCAAAGTTGCCAGTCCACGCTATCTCTTCAAGAATAGGAATCTGACATTGATCTGCTGTATTAACCCTCAAGATAAAGAGGGGACTGGCTTAAAAACTGGGTAAGAAGAAAGTCTCAGGAAGACATACAAACTTCGGGGAATGGAGCTTTTTCACAATAGTTCCAGATGACTTTTGGCCATTAGCACAGTATGATGTCTTTGTATATCTTACGCTTTAATCTCACAACAGATTAGTTCTGCAGACCATGACCACAAACATCTGTCGGCTATTGCAACATCTGAGTTCACTTTTTCCCACTCACAAGATAGGATATGTGGTTTTAAATTGTTAAGCTCTATGGCAACAATCTTAATTTGTTTTCATTCTGAATCTGTGGATAAGTGCCATTACCTTCTGCAGTGTAGAAAGCCTGGAATCCAGTGAACCTGCCCTCGTTGGAGAAGTCGCTCCTGAAGACCACTGTCAGGAGGTTTGAGGCTGAGATGATGACTGTGTTCTTAGGGCTGCCCTCATAGTTCTTCTTCTCTTCTCCACAGAACCGCAGGGTCTCATTGCCCTCAGCAAAAACCTGCACTGACAGGGTCAAAGATCACACCAAATCATCAAATCAGTTCAGAAAGAGAGGTACTCAATACTGATTTGTATTACTTTAATAAAAGTACAAAGCCTGGTCAAATATTAATCTGAGTAAAAGTAGCTCATTTAAATTATTATTACTTTAAGTGCATATGAGAGATTTAAATATATATTATAGTTTTACACAAATCAAGAAGCAATTTAAGAAGAAAAGTTGAAAAATGTGTTAATCATTAAATAGAGAAGCAGACAAAGTAGGGAGTTCTAGACACACTGATGACACCACATTAGGAAAAATTCTGTCCAAAAGTTCAGCACAATTTACATGGGAAACTAATTTTCCTGATACTTTGAATATTAATTCAACAAAATAAAGGTGTTTTTACAAGAGTTATGCAATTCTTTAGTGTGATTCCCGAGGAGAACGAGGAAGTACAAATTTTCACCTAAAAAAATTACCAAATTGGAAAACAAATGTAAATATTTTTGCAAAAATCTTAAATATAATGATCTTAAGTGTATTTTAGTAAAATGAGTGATTGAGCCTGTCATAGGCACTTAAAGTTAAAGTTCTCACATAATTGCTATATTGAAAGTTTTTTCTTACAAATCATTTTTAAACTGCTGTATGACAACTTTGCAGCTTCAAAAATAATACAAGACAAGATGCAAATTGTACGGGTTTATCCATTTCTCTTCACCCTGTATAGTAAGCATGATTTTGAAAGCTTAGAAAGACAAGAGACATATTTGGTTTGAGACAGAAATTCAAGTAGCCTATGTTTTTTGTTTTTACTATCTCCAAGCAAATACGTCAACTCAGAGCTTGTTAGAACTGCAGATATTGTTAATAGATTAAGGCCAAGCCCAACAAACCGTCTAATTAGTGAAACTGCGCCCACAACAGCACAGGGGCTAAAACCTCTTTGTGATTCTTTTCTAAGTGAAGATCATAGGGCTTTGGATGAGACAAAAGATGTGGAAAGCTCCTTCACAAAAGTAAAAAACTATGAGAATATTTAGAAATGTTGTGGAATAGAAAGTATTACGTTTATCTTTCAAATGCAATGCAGTCTAATAGGTAATCAAGTACTCAAATAAAATACAACTCAAGTTAAATGTTCTGTATTATACAAAACTGACATGTTAGTAGAGATGGAAGACATGTTAGAAAAAAAACATAACTCATACCTCAGCCTAAATATGCAGGGTTTGTGTGTTAAACATGTGAATGAAACAAAACACACCCCAGGTAAGAAAATCAGAAAACGACATAATATAGGCCATAATATAGTAGACACATGAATAAAAAAAGTAAATGTACTTATAATACAATACAAGTGTAATTTTGTACCTGGACATAATCATATTCACACTGGTCTGAGGGCTCCAAGCTGAAGTGTGTGAAGTAGAGTTTGAGCCTGTGTCCTGGTGGGCCGCTGATGTTCCACACTTGAAGCTGGTTGTCGGGGTATGGCTGAGGGAAGGCTGGAGAGCTGAAGCTGCCATATAAACCAGTCAACTCCACACTCACACACACATGAAGTACGGAGAGCACGGCAAAGACACAGCGCCCCCTGGCAAAACGAGGTGAGATCACAGTTACTTTGAGAATTGTCGCACTTAAAATAGCTTGTTTAACGCTTACCTGGTCATGGTGGATTGTGCTGTCTGTGTGTTAGGAGAGAGAGAAAGCACCCGGACTGATCAAAGGTGAATGAACCAGGTCTGAGTCCAGAAAGCATTTAAGCAAACAAAGATAAAAACAGTCAATTTTCTCAATTGTAACACTAACTTGCAAACGTATGTTGGACCCCATTCTTTAATTTATGTGGAAAATAAACTGAACTAAAATTCACAGGAGCATTATCAAGACACGAAAATGTCAGACACAGTGTTTACACTTGATACTGGTTTCAATTCCACAATGATAATAAAAGTACTCTTTTCACTGTACTTTGATTGTATTTGTATGTGCTCTGAAATACTCTATCACTACATGTAATTTGATAAAAAAAAAAAAAATACTTCATGCATAATTAACACATCGTTTATTAAGAAAGATTCAGGCATAGCTACTTAAAAGTGCACTGCATAACATTTCTAGGGTAGGGAGAGTAACCTGTTTGTCTCCATGGAAATGTCATTGCTTTGTCTAGAATGTTACACAGTATAGATTAAACATATCTATCATGAGGGTGAAAACACTACGCTACATTACAACTAAGATCTGTGGAGAGTCACCCCTATTTACAGAAGGAATGATTGTGTTTTAAAGCAATAAAACCACCCCTAATGAATAAATGATAAATGGTTATGTTTAATGTCATACCATGAAATACTCTGTGTTAGGATTTGGTTTTTTGTTCTCCCCCCTCCCTTTTTGTTGCAGGGCTTGAGTGTGGCAGGGGGCATGGCTGGCTTCTTCTGGAGCAGATGAGACACACCTGCAATCAATTCCTTCATCAGCCTCTGTATTTAGCCCTGGTCTTCTCACCACCACTTTGCCAGATAATTCCGTCCTGTTCGGTGTCTCCGTGGTTGTCTGCTGTTGACTCTGGAGAAGCCAGCCAGCTCCCTGCCTCCTCAGCCTGCCTTCTGTTTGTAAAATAAACTGTTAAAATTTGACTGAGTCCTGGCTCTGCTTTGGGGTCCCTCTTGCCAAACCTTAACACTACGCAAAGTATGTTCTATGGAGACAAGCAGGTGGCAGACCCTCCACCAGAAAAGTTGCACATTGCACCTTTAATTAATTCCCTATTTACTAAACCTAACCTGGAAATTAAGTAGTTACCAAGCCTTAAGTTGCTATTGTTTATCATGAAGTGCATCTTTGTTCATGCTTTATTAAGGCCATTCTGAAATACTCAGGTAAAGAGCTAGATTTTATTAATTATTTTTCAGTATCTATACCTGGTCTAATTCATATCTAATTTTGATATCTAAGATACTGTATCTAAGTATGGATTTGTTACAACCATATTGCATTGCACATTACTAAAGTGAACAATACCATCAACTTGAGGTGACAATCTCAAAAATACTTTTATGGTTCATGATGGTTTTGCTTCTCTCAGGATCCACTGCAATCTTCAGTTGGACCAAAGAAGACGAATCAACAAACTAATGCATTTGATTAGTCCCCCTATGCAGTGCTTGCAGTAAAGTAAACATCTACCTCATCAATAAACATAGCCAAGATTAAAGCTACTACAAAACTTCCCTGTGTTAACTTTGGGGATAGACCCCGTTAAATGAGATTGTATTCACAGCAGGATGTCACACACTTGAGTGGCTGGGGAACTTTTCTTATATGCGTAGAGACAGTGACGTTAATCAGTTCCGACTTGAGTGGCTAATTATTTCAGGCCCTGCTCTCCTGATGGCCCACGCTAGCCTTACAAAACAAATAGACCAGCCTCTATCATTTACCAACAAAGACTTTTTGTTTTCACCCAATTATTATATCTAGGATGAGAACAGTCAGCAACAAATGAACCAACGCAATGATTTTCACTATATTAATGTACACATCTGGGCAAAGCTGAGGGTTTAAAGGCCAGACTGCATTGTGAAAAGGTCTTTTGAATAACGATTTGTTTTGATAGGGACTGAACCATAGAAAACTGACCAGTGGTATGATTAGTAAGCTTCTAATAACCAAGACCATTTCCGCCAAACAAAGCCCTAATGGCTTGAATCTGAACAGGATTATAGTAATTATCTGCATATAGATCTATGATGATTTCCCCTTGCAAATAACCTCTGATGGCCCACAGTTTAAATGGTGTTGTATTTGAGTTCAGCAGAATCATTGTGAGGCCAAATAATGAAATGGTGACATCAGATGTGCTCTTTGAAATACAACTAAGTAAGTAAGTAAGTAAGTCTTTATTTATATAGCGCTTTCACAGACATTTTCTGTCCCCAAAGACGCTTTACACAGCATTATTCAGCACTATTCATTCAGCATTCATTCATACAGCATTATTCATTCACTCTAAACCCTGATGATGGTAAGCTACTATTGTAGCCACAGCTGCCCTGGGGCTCACTGACAGAGGCGCGGCTGCCATGCCACTCGGCGCCATCGGTCCCTCCGACCACCACCAGCACTCACACACACACCACTTTCATACTAGGCAATGTGGGTGAAGTGTCTTGCCTAAGGACACAATGATTGAATTGATTGTCCTCTTCTGTTTGATACAATGGCAAAAAGTGAAGTGTCTGGGGACAAGTCATTCAGCAAAATAAATAAATAAATAAATAAGTTAATTAATTGTATTAAATAAGTACAAAAAAGTACATAATAATAATAATAATAATAATAATAATAATAATAATAATAATAATAATAATAATAATAATAATATATCTACAAAAAGGAAAAGAAAAGACAAAAAGCCTAAAACTGAGAATGGCATTTTATTATGTATTTTTCCAGTTAGCAGACATGCTGGATTGCCACTAAAAGCACTTAATATAATAAAAAGGGACTTGTCTCTTCACTAAAAAGGTTAATTTGTGAAAGTCACTGTAAATGTCAGTGTTGGCGTAATTGGTATTAAATGCCAGTCTTAAATAATAAATCTATTTCCTGTTCAGTGTGTCAACACTTAAGACTTGTCTGTATTTAGATTTGTGTTACACACATAAAGCAGGCCCACTGTAACACATTTTAAACAAAGGCCTCTTTACTTTTCTCATAACCTCATCCACCTGACCCCATTTGAATGTGAGGTTTATAACTTTATAATTATAAAAAAGAAAAGAAAAAAAAAAAACTCTAAATGAAAGGCTAAAAGGTGTTGTAGTAGTGTTACTAGCAGTGAGCAAGTGGTGGCCGTGAGTACACAACAAATTAAAAAGTGTTAAATTTCACGATGTTGGTGTTGTTGTGAGTAAAGTGAAGAAAATCCAGATATGTTTCAACATAGTCAAGAGTTATTTCAACTATGACAATGCTGTAGAGTAAAATAAGTAGTTGTTGATTCACAGTGTTAACGTCAAACACTTAGAAAGTATCTATTTTGAATATTACACTACATCAGTGTTGGGCTTTTGTAACGTATCTTGCGGGAAGCTAAGATCCGAAGCTAAGCTAAGCTAACAGCTAATAGCATTTGTTTTTCAGTAGAACTGAACTCAATGAGCCTCAAGTCCAACCACCTGAGCTCTCACATGCCCCGGGTCAGATGACTTTACCTTTGTAGGACAATCTGCAGTTAATTTAATTCATAAAAATCTTAATCAGTGTCAAATTCAACTATGAGGAGTGTGGTTACTTCTCTTTACCAGTGTTAAGCCTTCTACCTTTTGGAAAGTGTGGTTTTAACTCATTTTATTGTGGACCCCTTTTAGGACATGGTAAAAGCATTAAAATTAACAGTATACAAGTTGAATTAACACTCTTGAATTTGCTGTGTAATACTTCATAAGAATTTATAAAACTATGTCAAAAAACTATGCCAAATTGTAACCACTACACACTGCAAAATTGAATCCTCACTTTTTCCTGTGGGTGGCTGGTTTATTGATGGACTGTTCCAATACTGGCATTGGATATTGGCGGAGATATTGAAAAATTTGCTCTTATCAGGTATGGACTTCCAAATATTGGTTTAGCCAATATTCTGTTTGAACAAATTAATTATTGTAAAAAAAAAGACGTTGGTCATATTTAATTATTGTAAAACAATTGGTCGTCTTTGGTCCAGGAAGTCTCATAATATTGTAACCTTGTATTTAGGCAAAGTTGTCCTAAAACAGCTGCATAACACATATGGATCAATTTTTTTTTTTTTTTTAAAGGAATTAAATATATTTTTTAGTCTGTGCACTGGTATCAGTTGATATTGAGTTTCAGCAGATACTTGAAGCTATAGTATCGAAATCAGTATCAGACATCACAACATTCTATAAACTTTAATACAGATGGGAGGCAGCTAAAGTTAATATTGTTATAAGTTAAGATTTTTACTGTAATATAGCAAGTACCAGTAATAATGATCAGGCTCAACATTTGCCCATTTTCCTTTTGGATATTTCTCATAAAAATCCTGAGTAATACTAAGGAAAATCTTGCCTCTCATTTGGGAGAGTGACACATTCTAGAATCTGAAAACCAGCGACATTTTGGAGAACTCAACCTCTGAGCATTTGCATCCTACTTTAATGATGACACCACTTGTACCAGTGCCTAACATTTTGTGAAGGAAAAAGTACGTCTAGTCTGGGCTGGGTGGGTTACGTCACTGAGAGACAAAACCTGCCTCTGCTCTTCGGGAGAGAGGCGTCGTCGTGACACCCAGAGCTCTCTGAATCACAGCTGGATCCATTGAGAGTTCAGTGGGATGGAGCTAATGCTATAGTCCCATAGACAGCACCTGTGTAAGTGTGCGTCAAAACGCCGAGAAGAGGAAAGATTACGCCTCCGCCCGCATGCTGTATATGAGTATGGACATGTGACAGGTGAAATATAAAACAGAAAAAAAAGGTTTACTTGATTTAAACATATTTTAGGAAAAGGAGTCATAATAAACAAAGTACCCCAAATGAATTGATTAATATTAGTCTAAAATACAGTATATTACTATGTTGCTATAGGTCAAAACTCAAAGTGGCACATGCAATTAAGTCAGTGAAGAAATATCAAAATTTCACACTATTTACACCTGCACAAAATTTAC